GAAATACTTCAAGTAAAAGTTGTAGATGATACTATTACCTATGAAAAATTTGAAATCACTATAATTTTAGATTTTTAATAGTAATAGGAATCTATAATAACAAATTCAACATGCAAGTATCGTTTAAGTGTATAGCCTATACATCCTTAATCGCTTCTGATAATATCTAACGATTTACGGTTGATTTCTTTGTTGTTTAATTTCTTGCGTTCTCCTCTTGGAAACTAGGCTATCTACTTTCGTTTCTAGGAACTGGCTTTACATTGCATCGGGGCAACTGGCTGTGCACGTACAGTCAGACGAATCAGGAGAATTAAATTTCATATTTCAAACATGTCTCCTTACATTTTTATTGGGAAGATTCCCTTTATATCTCGTCGTACTGCGCGCTGTACAAGGTTTCTCCGCTGAAATTATACCGTTCCGTCATTTCTGGTTCTCATGAAGTTCGCTCCTTCTCGGAGTCTTCTGACCACAACGAGAACCCATTGTGTCTCGACCTCACTTTGTCCCTTTAATTCTTCCGCGCTTGTTCTCCGAAGGGTCGGGAGGAAACTGCGGTCAGTTACGATTTCGTGAAACGGAAGCTCGACCGTGGTCGTTCGATTCTTCGCGGAACTAAAAAAAAAGAAGATCGAATACCGTCAGTATCGGAATCAGTCACGGAGAATCGTGGACTTTCCTGTTCTTTACGTCCCTTAAAATCGTAAAAGAACGCGTAAGGAACGAGTTTTATTTTTACAAAAGTGCCAGTTCTCAATTTTGCAATTTCGTTACGAAGAAAACGAACGTTCGTTAGAAAACGATTGGAACGTTGATGTTTTCGTGCGATTTTACATTGTAACTTCTAATTGCGAAGGGCCGGGATAGAAAACGTAACTTGGGCGCCCGTTCGGTCGAGAGTTTCGGCTCGGAGGAGTTCGTACGAGTTCCGCGAAAGATACACACGCGGGGTGTGTGGAGAGAGAACAATTATCAGTCCAGTGTTGGATGACTCGAAAAGTTTCGATTCGAGAATTACGGCCGGCGAACACGGGAAGTTTCGCGGAGATCCGTTACGAACGACAGCGGAACGGAATCCTCCTGTATCCACTGAAGAATTGCTCCGGGAACTTCAATCAACCCGTTCCTACATTTCAACGTTCTTTGAAAAACATTGGAGAAGTTTCCAAATAGGGGAAGTAGGGAGCGTGCGAAACTCGAAGGTTCATCTTCAATGTGAAATAAACGCGTGTTCCATTTCTCGTTCGTTCAACGAACAGCAGAGAGTTATTTTAATACCGCGAATGCGCCGGCATAGAGAAAACGCGCATAGGAAATATTCGTCGATTCTCGTACAAAGGAATATCGCTTTCTTTATTCGATTACGCAGCGACGTTCGCATTAAGCCAGGATTCCAGAAGGACTGATTAGACTCGCG